CATGCCCTTTTTGCTTTTAACTACCTTATAACAAGCTATAAGCTACTCTGAAGAGAGCTAACATCCATCTTTCTTGTAAAAGGTGGGATTCCTGAAAGGGAAATCAAGAGCCACCGTTCCTGTTGTCAAGGCTCTTTATACACCTTACATCAAAAATCGTAGGAGCAAGATTCAGAAAAAAAGGTTTCCATTTTTAAGCTGAATTCCCATCTCACTCTGCTGAAGAGTTAGATCATGCCTACATGCGGGTTCCTGGCCCCTACCATTTATACTGGCCAAAGTAAGCTGCTGTGCTCAGACAGCACAGCAAATAGTTTATCAAAAATGGAAACGTAAGTTGATTTTCAGATTTTCCTGAGCAGTTAGATGGTGTGTAAGTAATCTGAATTGTTCTCTGAGATATGTGAGCAGCGGCCTTCTAAGTCAAGCCTTAGGCAGGAATTGGAGCACCTGAATTACTACTTTACCCCAGACCAGGAGTACACTTTCAAAGTGACTCTCTCACTCCCCCCCACTTACTGAGCTTTGACTAATGTTGCAGAGCAGTCCTGGAGCGCATGGACAAGGTTCCTTACCGTTGTCACAAACCTGGATTACATGCTCCAGGACAACAGGAAAGGCTCTGCAGCTGCTCCTGGGAATTCAGGCCTTGAAAATCCAGTTTAAATCAGAGTTCGAAGAAGTTACATCATTTTACATCCTTGTACAATGACTCTTAGAAAGGTAGAGTGTGACTCAAATGTTCTCTGAAGCATAACAAGAGTTCAAAAATAAATTAGTCGCTAGAGGGAGCCTCTTAATCATCATATCCTGGTATCAAACCGCTACTAACTGGTTTTCAGCTCTTAGGTGTTGAAGTACTTTAACAGGGTTAGTGAGTGCTACTTCCTCCAGTACTCAGTTTAATGAAAATGAGGATAAAAGATGAAAGTATGCAAGGCTTCTGCAAAATTCCACATTCATTCCACATTCTGAAAAAATACAGACTTTCTAAAGATTTCCCCACAGGAAAACACGCAGAGACAGTAAGTGCAGTGGCTGGGAACAGAACTAGCTTTGCCTAGACCTTTTTAAAATGCTATCTTTAAGTGGCACCACTGAGAGGGCATTCACCTTTCTCTCCTTCAAAGATGAAACATTAAAATAAGCACCAGTTGTCACTGTGAGAGGAAAGTCTTTAGACCGCAAACACTACCCTCTCTCCTTTTTCTTCATTACACCATAGCTGTTCCCAGGAGGTAACTCCCAGCAGCCAGATTTCAACGAGTGCTACTTACAGCAGTGATCTGGTCTAGCTCTCTCTGTGTTAGAAGGCGGCTACATAGAAAACAACAAAGATGTGTTCCTGCAGTGTAACTGCAGACCTGCGTTCAATTTTCTGCTATACTCTAAACTGAGTAAATAACACAGCAGTTATAGCTTGTGGTTCTCTGTAATAAATACTATAGAATTTGGAAGGAGTCCTGGAAAAATACATGGAGAATAAGAGAGCTGTGGAGGAGACCCCAGCTGCAAGAGGGGCTCTCCCAGTCGGCAGGGCCCAGCTGGGATTGATTGCAACATGGACAGAAAAAACCAGCACCTCAGAAGGTTCTTTCTTTTTAGAAATTATACAGCAGCAGAGGGCATCAGACACCAAGAAATCCTATATACCTTAATGAACTCTGAAGCGCTAAAGGCACAGTGAAGGGGAATGGGAACTGGAAAGGTGTAGACTGAGATGCTATAACATGGGTGAGGATAAGGAAGCAGGCACTGAGAGAAGGAAAACCAGACACATCACGTCTCCTCTGTATGTTTGCTGTAACCACTCCAGCATGGAAACATTGGGGTGGGAGAGAGCAGGGGAGGGATCACCTACGGTGCTGTAATTTGCCTCTGAGGTGTTCCACTAGCAAACAACCTTGAGCACTGCAACTGGTGATGAACCACCAACTCATATCATCATCTCCCTTCTCTTTTAAGATATGAAAACACAGCAAACTCTCTGTCAGTAAAGCAAGATTGCTGCTTGATAGTATCTCATACTGTCCCAAAACACTCAGCACAACAGGACTCAAACAAGAAAAATCAAGAAAGCAAGCATTAGCCAGCATGTAACCTTAATTTGTCCCTTTGAGTGGTGACTTGGAAACAGGCAGCACTCAGAAGTGAAGCCAAATGACTCATTTTCTGCAAAAGCAAATTCAGGTCTCTTGCCGGCATTTCCTTCCCACACCCTAAAACTGTTTCTCACTGCGTGTGCAGAGATGACCTCGTCATTGCTGCAGGCACTTGGGGCTGCCATACAGTGAAGATAGTCGCTCAATTTCTATTTCTACAGACAAATAATTACTGCTTCGTAAGTACAGCAATTTTCTGTCTTCCTTGGTGGAAATGAGAGGTTTATGAGGAACCGCTATTTATAGTGCCTTTCATTGGAGCGTCTCAGACTTGAAGGAGGTCCTCCCCCTCCCTTGAGAAACCACTGCTTGGGCAGAAAGCATTTTAGCTACATTTCTGGTGTTCCCCAACCAGACTCTTACGCGTGTATGAATGTCATCGTTGTGCTAAGGCAGTGGGACGTGCAACTTAAGGGACTCCAGGATAAGTCAGACTGTCCAGCTGCTTGCTCTGGTATAACACAGCTTTCCTGTAGCGAAGCGCGCATGAGCAGCTAGAGCAGATTTAAGGGCTGCCTTCAGAAACAGATGCTAGACGCTGCGCTGTACCTGCAGTAGTTGTGCTGAAAAATTTGGAATGGTTTTAAGTCGACTGAAAATAAGCTCACGCTCCAATCTATCAGCTGCCTGCTTTGAGTGTAACTTGAACAGGTACTGTATTCCTCCCTTACTATGTTGGGAAATGCACAGGAAAATGTTAACGGGCATTTGGAAAATTTATTTTTGCTTGTGTAGTTAAAAATATTTCAAGGAAGTTTTTAAAAGGCATTTCCCTTTACAACAACATTATTCTCATACATGCCTGTGTACAAAGCGAGAACAGTCAGCTGCAGACAACTTGTTATTGTGAGCCTGGCTTTTACTGTATCTATATCAAGTCTATAAAATAGGAATTTTTAGAAGACATTTTCTCAGGCTGAACAGTACTAAATTGAATGGAATTACCTACAAGACCTTTCACTGAGTGTTCCCAAACTGATGCCACAAACGGGTACTGCTTCTGTGAAATGTGTATCTGAGCATATCTAAAATTATTAATATTTTCTCTTTTGCAAACTAGCTTGAATTGGGTTTTCAGTGTCTTGTGAGTATTTTGATAGAAAAGTAAAGACAGATTACAAAATTTCAATCAATAAAAGAAAACAGTAAAATATGAAACATATGCAAGCTGTATCCCCCTGGATTATTAAAATGGATGAAGAAAGAGAGAAAATCTAAATTACTTTGAGGGGGTTAAATAACGGGGGAGGGAGGAGTTTTGCTTTAAGCCGAATTCAATTCAGATAGCAAAGTGGACAGTTTGCTTGTAGCATAGCTTAAGTGGCAAAGTAATCCTAAAGAGGTCCCCAAAAAGGCATCCTCCAAACTGCTGGTGGCTGAATCAGGCAGGCACTTGCTGCTGCCCCAGTTGCTGGAGGCTGAGCAAGGAGCTGCACTAAGGTGTGGGGACCTGGGGTCCTCCCTGAATTCTCACAAACTGGAGGAACAGGGCAAGCGGCTTTCACTGCCCCTCTTGTTCCCACTCGAGCTGCTGGAATTTCTCTGACCAGACTCCCATCACCTTTCACTAAGGAAATGGCTTGACAGGGGCAGTGTCAGTCAGCGCAGTAACTGTTTTCTATAGATTACCCGCTTTTTTGCAGGCAGCTTCTGAGGAAGCTCAGCCTTGAGTTCCAGCCTGTGATTTGAATCTCTACTGTGAAGCACAGGCAATTAGTGATAACCCATTATACAATTCAGTTTGCATATTTCCAACTCCCTTTTATCTCAACTGTTTTGGAGGCACATAGTATGTATACGTGAGAGATGGCTGATGCGTCCTCCAGTATCTTTCCTACGCCTACTTAGGATGCAGGAAAGGCACAAATTCAAATGCATGAAACTGAGTGTCTGTAGTTAGCAATGCTGCATCAGCATTGGTGCTTGTAAACAAGTGTTTAGAACCATTTGGATGCCAATTTTCTAAGTATAGAAATTTAAATTTTCCCATTGACGCTTGAAGTGTAAGAACTATGGATATTAACTAAGCTGATAAATATTATCATTTCTGGAAAACAAAATGTGAAACCAATATAATTTATAAAAATGAGACTGTTGGGACAGTTCAACCAGACATGGGATAAATTTGAAAGGAGTCTATTTTAAAGCCTTTGAACCAAGGTCATTTGGCCATTACTTCAAAGCCTTTAAACAGTTTGTCTTGTCCTGGCAGTGAAAGAGAAAGCCCCAGAAGAACCTTTGCAGAAAGCTGTGCAGAGGGGGGAAAAGAGAATCACACCCCACAATCTGACACATAAAAAGAAGGAAAAGGCTCAGCTCAGAATCAAACAACACGAGGTCACAAATTCAGTGTCTTCTAAGAAAATGTCATTGTTGGAAGAGGATGACTAGAATTTCTACAACTAAAGATATCTCTTACAAGCCTGAAAGGAAACTTGGCACATTATGTGAAGAAGCAGCAGGCTGCTACTGTCTCTGGTTACAGAAAAATAAATTATATTGAGGAATGCATTTTAAAAAGCTTTTCTCTTCCTTTCTGAACAGTAAGTATGTTTCATACAGTTGAGTCATGCTATTTTAAGATAAACTTCTCTACATAAAAAGAAAAATTCCTCTAAGAAGTGAAGAAGTACTAGCAATAAAAATATAGTTAATGCCTCTACTATCCTTCATTTAGGGTCTGATCTGAGGTGCACTGAGGTAAATAAAACAGAGAGAATGTTGATAGGCTTTCATTAAATTTTGTATCTATTTTATTGCAGTGACTACTAGGAAGATGCAAACATGACAAGGCTTTCTCTCTTGGTTTTGCAGGATCTGAACATTCCAAATGTAGAAATGATTTGGCAACCAACATCTTATTGGTAAGAAAAAAGTTCATTAATTATTGTTATATCATACTTAGATCTAAAGTGAGTGAAGTTTAATAATGACATAATACCGTATTATAGAAGAGTAGCATTATTTATAAAGTATACTCACAATGTGTGTGTGTGGGGGGGGTTGTCTGTTTTTATTGTTCTTAAGTTTTCACAACACAAACGTCCCAGTCTGGGGAGGAAGTATGTCAGAGGAAGTTGATCACATTCCCAGTTTCTCAGACCAATTTCTAAAAAATACCCCAAGCTACTGAAAAAAATCATTTCTTTGTCATTTGCCACATGTCAATTCCCAAGTGAGACTGCTCATAGAAAGTTTGGAAACAATCAGAAAAGGAGATTTTGAAGTTATGGTCCTGGCATTTTCCTTTTCATGACACCTGTTTGGGTCAATGATCAAAATTTAACACACCTTCTACGTCCAGGCAGAGAGTGGTCTGATCCACAGCCAAGTTCACATGGGAGGGTCTTCAGCCACATGCAATGGCCAGGTCATTGGCTTCTTTCATTCTTCTGTGTTTCAGGACATCCCTGGTCACACCCCTGATTTTTGGTCTGCTTCTACAGCCACCACTTACACAACTTTCCATCATCACACAGCCAAACATTGTCCTGTTGATGGCTGATGATCTCGGCATAGGGGACGTAGGTTGCTATGGGAATGATACTATCAGGTAAGGAAACTGACTATAACAGTGAACAGAGCTGGTGTGTTATTTCATGTAAGACTGCAATCCTCTGGTCATCATCAGCTATTGGAGCTGTCTTCAAGTTCATTTCCTGGGGAAATAGGAGGATTTCCCATGGGAAATTTTGCCATTCTTTCCCAGTCTCTCATCACTGCAACAAGCTATGTCACTAGGAAACACTTCTGTTTTCAGAACCAAGGACATAGAATTTGCCTTCTCTTTGAAAATTGTGCCATGGTATTGCCTGCTGGCTTCCTACCAACTTGTCACTCCTTTGAACAAACCCAAATTTGGCATGATCACTCCCCTCATCCAGCAAAGTTCTCAGAATCTCACCCTGATTGGCACCAGCTGGCAAGTTTCTGATAGGCAGCTGACAATCATAGGTAGCTGATGGGGCTGTGCATGGCCAGGCCTCTACTTCAGCACGGCATCATCCCCAAGGCATGAGTTTTCCTTTTAAGCGCAGTCGGGTACATTTCTGAAAGGCCTTTCATAGGACTTAGGAAAAAAGAAGGAATGGTTGGCTTGACATTTATCCCAATAGCAATTGTTAATAAAGAAAGGGGGAAAAAAAATTTCCCCATCACTTGACAAAATTAAAATAAATTTTAAAAAATAAAATATTTCCTGACCATCTTCAAACAGAGAAACTTCCCAAAACAAAAATTAGTATATTATTCTTCATCCCCATTCCCTTGAAGACTCTCTGAATGATATCTGACAGTGTTCATTCCATTTTTAGGACCCCGAACATTGACCGCCTCGCAAAGGAAGGAGTGAAACTGACCCAACACATCGCTGCAGCTCCACTTTGCACACCCAGCAGAGCAGCTTTTCTCACTGGCAGATATCCCCTTCGATCAGGTTTGCCTTGCAAAACCAAGCAGTCTTTAAACATTGCTTTATTGCTGAAGGGAACAATGTTATACAACAGCCACAAAAGAAATTAGGGTGTGCAAACAGAAGAGGTGCCACAGACACGTCATCCCCTCACTGAGGCACACAGAGACACACCAGCTGGGCCTAGTACCTTTGAGGTGGCATCTATATTTGTGGGGTACAATGAACTGACCTGAGGGGGAAGCAGAGCACAGAAGAACCAGCTCTGCAGAGCAGCTTGCCCCCCGCTAGGCTCACAACTTCAGTTTTGTGAATTGAAATTGAAAAATTGCAGATTTCAGCCAGAATGGAGTTAGTACATATTATTACATTCAGAAAGGTCATTATACAGAACATGAACAATAATAACACCTTTTTAAAGCACTAGCTACAATAATTTCTGCCATAGATGACTCCTCATCAGATATCAGGAAGAGCTCAGCCATGCAGGGAGCAGAATAGAACTATGCAGATATGTGTCCATTCCCTCCAGTTGAGGTGCAGAACGAGTCGTTCTGGGGGAAAGCTTTGTTACCTATGTGTCAGAATTCATCCATCCTGTGAAAAAACAGTTTGACAGCTATATTATTTTTCCCAGTTCTGTTTTTGAAGATAAAATACCATCCTGTCAAACTGCATCCCTAAGATGAAGAGGTATGAAAAACAAATAGCTCTGCATGTTTCTAACAGCAACTCTCTAATCCTTGTTCTATTGCAAATGATCCTTCAGTGCCTTCAGGCATTTTGAAGCAGACACGTTGTCCTACTTTTATCATGACAGCTCCCAATGAGATAGATAGCTTGAAAACACACATGAGCTTGCAGGGGCCAGAAGCCTTCGATGCTTCCATGACAGATTGTACTGCACATAACGTTGTATGATGGGGTTATGTCAGTATATAATGCTAAATAATAGGGTGTAAACAGCAGGTGAGGAGAAGATTGCGGTGCTAGATTGCTGCTCTGTGGGTTTCAGAAGTCGGATACCAGCTATGCCGCTGTGCACGGAAATCTTGAGATCTCAGGTAGCCTTATGCAAGCTGGAGTTTGAGGCTGACAGAGGGCTGAAGTCTCCCTACTCTCCTACCTGCCCTCACAGCCACATTAAGTGAGCTTCATACAGACTGGATGCCACTGTGACATATACAACTGTGCCATTCTGAATAAAATAAAATAAAATAAAATAAAATAGTCTCAGTATGAGATACAAAGAAGAAGAGGTATTATATAAAGGAGAAACTTAACACTTTCTTAATCTTGTCCAGAGTCCTAGATTCATTTCCCCAAACAAACAACATTAGGATAAACATTTTAATGCTATAATATCAATGAAAGCAGGAAACAAGAAAGTATGTTTAATGAAAGTACTCTACAGTTATACTTACTCAGATTGTTTATTACTGTATTTTTCAGGGATGGATGCTATAAACAATTACCGTGTTATTTTTTGGAATGGCGGCTCAGGAGGTCTTCCTCCAAATGAAACCACTTTTGCCAAAATACTGCAGCAGCAAGGCTACAGCACAGGACTGATAGGTACGGGGACACTCCTGAAGATGGCCTAGAATGTGTTTCACTTGCACATCTCATTCAAACTATTTGTTTTAGTTAGCAACTACTCATACCTCAGTTGTAATATTTTTATTTCCTGATTTAAGAGTATCCTGTAAGAGGAAATCTAGACCAAACAGAATCTTTCTTAAAAGAACAGGCATCTGATAAAGAGAACATTCTTTACTGTTGACCTGCTTTTAGGCACAGCTGTGGTTGTTAAAATATATAATGGAAAATATGTTAATATTTCGTGAATACTATTCTACCAGGTATATGATAATTATTCCAATGCGATTTCATAAAAAACAAAAACATGACTACCTTTTAAATATACATGAATCACACAGAATCACAGAATGGTCGGGGTTGGAAGGGACCTCTGGAGATCATCTGGTCCAAATCCCTGCTAAAGCAGGTTCACCTACAGCAGGTTGCGGGCAACTGCATCCAGGCGGGTTTTGAATATCTCCAGGGAA